ATGCTTAACTCAAATAACGCAACTTAATTGTTCTGGTTGGTCTTCCGTACTTTATAATTACAGCCCGATTATCAACACAAAATTACATTTCTTAATTACTGCGGATCTTCTGATTAGTCAAAACGATATAATTTCCAACGCGCTAAAAAAAGATCTCTCTCATAAGAACACTTACCAAAGCGGACGCGGCAATTAACTAATTTTATAATATTTTAACAATTTAAATGTAAAAATGTATTATAATTAAAGAAATAATAAATAATTGTATTAAAAATTCATTTTTCATCGAAAAATTTTTTGCTTTCAAAAAATATTGTCCATATTCATAAAAACAATTAAAGCAAATAAAAGCATTTGAAATTAAATAATATTTTTATTTTGAGTTTTGTATGTTACAATTCAGAGCTGATTTTCAGGTGGGAGGGGTTCATTTAAAAAAAAAAAAACATGATTTGCATTCCTCAAAGCTCTGTGCTTTTAACTATTGTAATCACTAAAGTGGACTCGATCGAATTTCTAGAGTTTTCATTAAATTAATTATGGGTGGGGAGTTAATAAATATAAAAAAATATTTCTGCCATGACTTTAATAAAAAAAAAAACATATTTATAATAATTTCCATCATCTGTGAATAGTTTCTGAAAGTTTCATTAACATCCTACAATTATTTTTATTTTTGCAAGATTTTCCAAATTAATGTGTGTCATACAAAAAGAAAAAAAAACGCTAAAAATTGTATATGTTGTTTTACTAGTTCCGGTGATACAAACAGAAACACGTTTTTTTGTGTTTTGTTTTTTTTTTTTTATCAAAATTTAGAATGTTTTAAAAGGAAGGAAAAAATTTTAAAAATAATGTAAAAAATTTGGTCTTTCCTTTTCATAATAAACATTTCGACGATAAAATTTTGTTTTCGACAAGTTTGGCATTTTTTTCATCATGCTATGCTCTTTTTTTTTTTTTTTTTTTTTAGCAATCTCATGAAGGTGCCTATTTTAAAATATTTTAGTATTTGATATACGCTAGTAGGTCAACTGACCATTTCCTGTTGTAGAGACACAACAACAATAATAATAATGGAAGTGTTCTCTCATCTTATGCTCGTCTCTACTCTACAAGAATCTTGGAGGCCAATGTCTACCATCAGGTCTCCTTAAACGCAAATGTACCCTTGAAAAACTCAGATACAAGTGAAGAAATTGGATTTATTTATATTATACTAAACACTTTTTTGATATTAATTAGTTTATTTAGAAAAAAAATGTATTTTAAATCGTTAGTTTCGAATAAACACTTTGTTCGGCAGGGTTTTGGCGAAATGCAATCTCATCCCTCCCTTCCTCTGTGTGTGTGTGTGTGTGTATATATATATATATATATATATATATATATATATATAAAATAATTATTATTATTATAAAAACATTTTGAAATCTATTTTTTAAAAGTTTTGCATGTTTCAATACTATCATTTTATTTCATCAGTCGATGCCAAGTAACTCTTACCATCACTTGAAGAAATACACTGATACTATTAAAACATACGTGAAACACGCTTAGGCGATCATGTATCTCTCGATACATGACTAAATTTTTCCGCAGTAGGTTGCCATTTCTTTCTGTCGTAGACTGATTGCCTACCACGGCTAAAGAATCTGCCCTGCTATTTAACCCATAGTTAGGAAGGAGAAGAGATGGATCCATACATTTCTTAATCGTATTCGTGCGTAAGTGAATCTAACGAATTCGCCTTACTTGGGGTGAAGTGATTAAACAAATATATTTGTTGCTTTGCATTTTCTTCTGAGGTCTCTTTTAGTCGATTTTATGACAGATTAACCCTTGTTGGGTTGTTTCATGTAAAATCTTGCATGAGTTACCCAGTGAGGATCAAACACTGTTCACTAGAAATAGTCAGCCAGACTAGCCTTGCTAGCCATTAACCCAACACCAACTGTGGGATGATTTTTATGTCAACCGGACTTCTCATCTGATCACGAAAGTTAAGCAATGTCGAACCTGGACAGTATCGAGATGGGTAATCGCTCGTGAATACCAGTTGCGTGTGGTTTAATGGATAATTTACAACTAAATTGGTTGGTTTATTTAACTGGGAATTTCACATGGGGCACATGGTGAGGATCGAACTAGCTATTCAGTTGTAAGGATCCACTAGCAAAGTTTTGATCCTGACCTGGCATCTCGACTTTAATCACTTCACTTCCGTAACGTAGCCGTCTTTTTTCTACAAATATTTTATTGAGAATTTTCCTGATGAAGTATTCTCCTAAATGCTTTGACTCCACGAATTTAAATGGGCTATGAGATTGGTAGCTTTATCTCACCGTTTTAATGATGAACTAGTTAGATGCTGCTGTAATTTTTCCAAGGGTATTAGCTTTCGTATAGCGATTTCAATGTTTTTTTATTATATCTTATAATAATAATAATAATATTATACTTTGTATTGAGCAATTTTAAAAGTAAATGCTAAGAACAGTTGACTTTTACTCCATGTGTTTCGTTTTTTTGGGAATATATTCATATATATATATATATATATATATATATATATATATAGGTAAAATATTTCGGAAAGGAAAAGATTCTTAAAAAAAAAAAAAAAATGCTATTACTCCACGTAAGGGTGGAGTAATAGCACTGGTAATCCAAATTTTTATTAATATTAATTGTGACATAACATTGATTGGTGATGAGATGGTGTATTTTTTTTATTCCTCCCTCAGTTATGTACCACGCGTGATACATGCTTAGGCGATCTTTCGATACATGACTGATGAGGCAGATTTTTCCCGCAGTAGGTTGCCATTTCTTTCTGTGGTAGACCAGTTGCCATCCAAGTCTATAGAACCCGGTCTGTTCTGCTATTTAGCCATACCTTAGAAGAGTATTTATACCTTTTCCAAGGGTATTAGCACGTAAGTGAATGTAATAGATTTGACTGGAATTCGAACTCGGCTCTCTGATTCCTCAATCCGGACCGCTATCCATTACTCGATATTCATTTTATGCCGAGGATGCTGCAAATAAACTTTAAAATATTTAATATTCGATTAATGAAACGAATGCACATTTTTGTGTCGTAATTTTATTTCCTCCCTTTGTTTATCAGATTACATATTGAAAAAGGAAAATTGGATTTTTAAATTCACCAAATTACACACAGGGTGGGCGGTGTGGTGCAATGGATAAAATCTTGGAAATCATTTGAGATCGTTACTTTCACTTGTACACAAATACCCTTGTTATAGATTCATCTCTTCACCCTCCCAGCAATGGGTTAAAAAGCAGGACAGACTGAGTCCTATAGCCTTGATTGGCAATCAGTCTACCGCAGAATGAAACGACAACCAACTGCGGTAAAATCTGCCTAATTAGTCATGAATCGAAAAAGAGGCATGATCACCCACGCGTGCATCACACATGTCACCTAAGAAACGATATTAATATGTAGTAATTCTGGGGTGATCACTTTAGTACTTAATGAAAATAGGAAACCGATACCCCACTTTATGTCCCCTTCAATCTTATATGAATAAGACAGGCATGAAACGAAAAAGATGATCGTGTATCACTTATGGCGCTTAGCTGACTGAATGAATTGCACACAGGAGATAATTTCTCGTTTGTATATTATTGTCTTTACAAAAAATTTGACATAAATATGTACCTTACGATCCGCTTTTTCAATGTAAAACTTTTCTTATTTAAACTTTTGATTTTATTTAATATTTTTATTTCATTTCATTTAATTTTTTTAAGTTTTATTTTTGTTTTGCTTGATTTTTCTGATTTATGTTCGGTATAATTTTTTTTTTTTTTTTTTTTTTGAAAAACCACCTACTTCCATCCACACACACACACACACACACACACACACACATATATATGTGCAAAAGTATGTATACAGTAAGTATTATACCAGTATTAATGTTTGTATAATCAGTGCAATACATTTTGTTTTCATTACTGTATACCTACTTTTGCAGTTCATACACGTTTTGATGTCAACTTTGCTCATGCGCATAAATACATTTTGTTGTGTGGTAGATTTCTAACCACTGATATCAGACCGTATATTTCAAAATGGCCGTCGAAAATGTTTTTGTTTCCGAATTTCAAGTTAAATTTTTATATTAAGATATTCTGTTCATTTTTTAACAATAATTATAATAATAAAGCACTTAATTCATCGAATTGTCATTTACTTATTTCATTGTAAATGTTAATAGTATTAAAAAATAATAAATATTTGCTTAATATACAGGGTGTCTATAAAGTTCGTGTGCACTTTAAAAAAATTATAACTTTATTTGTATTTGCGATAGAAATAATTTGTAAAAAGGATTAGACAGAAGTAAATCTATATTTTTAAGGTTTTATTGAAATTTTATTTAAATTTCCACATGTCCTCCATCATTAGCAATACAAAGGGTAATACGATTTTGCAGTTCACGGAAAACATTTGACAATTGAATAACAGTAATGCCTGAAATCACATTAGTTATTTTAGCTATACTTAAAACTAGATACATTAAGCTTTATGACGTTTTTTACAGATTATTTCTATCGCAAATACAAATAAAGTTATAAATTTTTTAAAGTGCACACGAACTATATGGACACATTGTATATATACGAGGTGAAGTCAAGACTTATCTGCACTGTCGCTATAGAATATCTTTAGACAAGAGTGCGGATAATTTTTGACTTTCCTCGTATATTATCTACAACGGAGTGTAAAAAATTTCATACACGTTTTAAACAAACAAGCAAGCAAAAAATCAAAAAAAGATTTTACACTTTCCTTCGTCCAATAATGAAATTCATAACTGATTCTCCATTTCTATTAAAATAACAGAACCAAACACTTTTGTAAATCATGGTCAAATGATCCACACACTCGCACAAACATAATTTCTATGTCTCAAACGTGTTTTTTTTAAGCTAACACCGTTTTTTCTTTTCTTTATTCACAGGCAAAGTAAAAAGGCCACGCAATAGAAGACGCCGAAAAGGCAAGCGAGGTATGACTTATTAGTTTTTACTAACATTTTTAAGATGGCGTCTTCCTGTCTGCAAGGAAGGTCACCTATTGCTTAAGTTTTTTTTTCTATGGTAGAGAAAAATTCTGTATTTAGACTGGTCCACTCATAAAAAAGGAACATTTGAGTGGAATAATTTTTGTACATTATTATTCTTTCGACCTTCCTTAAGTCGCAAGATGTCTCAGAATCCAAAAATATTTTTTTTTTTTATCAATTTAGAAGGGGGTTCTGTTTCTAATATAGATACAATATCAAATCGGTACATGACTTTCATATAGTTACTGCTTACAAAAACACTTTTTTTGTTTTTTAGTATACTAATAAGACTTTTTAAAATAACGAACAAATGGTATATACATGTGTAATTAAAGAAGAAAAATTTAAATCGATAAAAGAATGTCTACGTTTATTCTTGATAAATACATCTATGTGCCGTGCCACTTCAGGACGTTGTCGATCATGGCTTTCTACAATTTTCTGTCCCTTGTGGCTTTTAATAAATTTTGTCTCTTTATCTATCTTAAACTTTGTACGAACCTCGAATGTTTATGCATGTACTTTCGAAAAAATCTAATATTGAAAAAAAAGTTTCTAAATAACTTTTAAAGTTAAAAACTTCAGAAAATTAATATATATATATATATATATATATGCAAATATCAATGATATTAGCACACTTTTAAACTTGACATTTATAAATAACAGCAGAGTGACTTACCATAAGACCAATAACATTTTAAGAGTCAGGGATCAATTTAATACTAATGTCGATATTACAAACATGTCACGTCCTTGGTATGACGATAAACCATTCTGGCACGTATGCTTCAAGATATGTACTGGATTATCCATATTGCCGGATCGTCCTGGGTATGACGATAAACTACATCCGCGTCCTGGGTAAGACGATAAACTACGTCCATCAGCAAGGCCTCTGATCAGGAGGTTTTGAGGAGTGTGGAACCACCTCTTAATTGCTGGTGTTCCCAGGTCCACCCTTATCCGGGATGGTAGCACTTGTTTGAGTCCCATCTATGGTCAAATAGTTAACCCCTAAAATGGGGTCAAGACACTATGAAAGTGTGAAAATAGGTTTGAATTCCAGAAATACATTGTAAAAAAAAAAAAAAAAAAAAAATTATCAGCAATACTTAAAAAAAAAAAAAGTACCAGCAATACAAATAGCTATATATTTCTTGAAAAAAAATATTACCAGCTATAGATTCTTTGAAGGAAAAAAATATTCGCCAAAATAGATTCTTTGAAGGAAAAATATTCATAAAATAGATTCTTTGAAGGAAAAATATTCCTTAAAATAGAAAATAGAAAAAAATATTCTTTTGAAGGAAAAAAATATTCGCCAAAATAGATTCTTTGAAGGAAAAAAATATTCGCCAAAATAGATTCTTTGAAGGAAAAAAATATTCGCCAAAATAGATTCTTTGAAGGAAAAAAATATTCGCCAAAATAGATTCTTTGAAGGAAAAAAATATTCGCCAAAATAGATTCTTTGAAGGAAAAAAATATTCGCCAAAATAGATTCTTTGAAGGAAAACATTACCAGCAATTCATTTTTGAAAAAATAATATTACCAGCAATAAAAATTTCATAAAATTAAACATGGCTAAAGAACCTGACCTGCTATTTAACCCATAGTGAGGAAGGAGAAGAGATGGATCCATACATTTCTTAATCGTATTCGTGCGTAAGTGAATCTAACGAATTCGCCTTACTTGGGGTGAAGTGATTAAACATATATATTTGTTGCTTTGCATTTTCTTCTGACGTCTTTTTTAGTCGATTTTATGACAGATTAATCCTTGTTGGGTTGTTTCATGTAAAATCTTGCATGGGTTACCCAGTGAGGATCAAACACTGTTCACCAGAAATAGTCAGCCAGACCAGCCTTGCTAGCCATTAACCCAACACCAACTGTGGGTTGATTTTTATGTCAACCGGACTTCTCATCTGATCACGAAAGTTAAGCAATATCGAACCTGGACAGTATCGAGATGGGCAATCGCTCGTGAATACCAGGTGCGTGTGATGTAATGGATAATTTACATCTAAATTGGTTGGTTTATTTAACAGGGAATTTCACATATGGCACATGGTGAGGATCGAACTGGCTATTCAGTTGTAAGGATCCACTAGCAAAGTTTAGATGATCATCAGCCATGCCCTATTTTTAGTTTTTTTTTTTTTTTTTTTTGTCGGAAGGATTCAAAGTAAACGGGTATCGGGTATCGTGGAAGGATTCAAAGTAAACGGGTATCGTGGAAGGATTCAAAAGTAAACGGGTATCGTGGAAGGATTCAAAAGTAAACGGGTATCGTGGAAGGATTCAAAGTAAACGGGTATCGTGGAAGGATTCAAAGTAAACGGGTATCGTGGAAGGATTCAAAGTAAACGGGTATCGTGGAAGGATTCAAAGTAAACGGGTATCGTGGAAGGATTCAAAGTAAACGGGTATCGTGGAAGGATTCAAAGTAAACGGGTATCGTGGAAGGATTCAAAGTAAACGGGTATCGTGGAAGGATTCAAAGTAAACGGGTATCGTGGAAGGATTCAAAGTAAACGGGTATCGTGGAAGGATTCAAAGTAAACGGGTATCGTGGAAGGATTCAAAGTAAACGGGTATCGTGGAAGGATTCAAAGTAAACGGGTATCGTGGAAGGATTCAAAGTAAACGGGTATCGTGGAAGGATTCAAGTAAAAAGTGGAAGGACAAAGTAAACGGGTATCGTGGAAGGATTCAAAGTAAACGGGTATCGTGGAAGGATTCAAAGTAAACGGGTATCGTGGAAGGATTCAAAGTAAACGGGTATCACTCCAGGGTAGAGGGGTATCGTGTGGTATTGTATTAGCATAAGAAGGGGCAAAAAGTGAAATTTTGGGGGTTATGCAGGAAAAAATAGAGGTCAAAATTTGATGAATTTTCAGAGTTCAGAGAGTATAGTGTGGGAGTAGATTTTAGAAGGAACCGGAAATAAGAAAATATATATATATATATATATATATATATATAGTCATTCAAAGATTTTTTCGGTTTCACAGCTCGTCAGTGTGGCTAGACATCCGATTACCCCAAGCCGGGGTCGAAACCCGACTGATGTTGTGTGTGTGCGTATTATATATATATATAATGAACGAATGAATGAAGTCCGACAATTTAATATATTTTCTCTTTATAGGTCATTTTTATAGATACAAATATCTAAGTAAATGCTCTGTTTATAATAAACAGCATTGACTACATTTACCGGCCTCAATGTCCGAGAAATTTCATAGAAAATATGTCTTCTCTGACAGGAATCGAACTTGTATCCTACACGGAACCGTCATTTAGCTACAGAAGAAGCGTCTGGCTAGCAAAGTCAAATTACTGTTTTTAAACAACAAATTTCCCTTATTTCTCTCGAACTCTCATATCTGCTCGGAGCGTATCTTAACGCAAACAAACGACCTAATATATTATAAAATGAACTAAGTCCGACAATTATTTTAATATAGTTTCTGTTTATACGTTATTTCATTGACTATTTAACGAGTCAACGGGGAGGTCACTTTACAGCTGTTGGATTGTGCCCGAAGCTGAGTTACTAGATATTGTTGATTCTTTGGATTTTATCGAGGTGCTCAAGATAAATTGCAGGGGCACCGTACTGTATATGATAGCAATATTCTAAGCATGGTCGAATAGTAGACTTAGAGATATGGAGTTTTTAAATTTCAACCTTTAGTTTTGTTATATTACTATTGACCTTTTTCGGCGATGACGGCTATGTTTGTTTGTTTGTTTATTTATTTATTTTTTTTTAAAATATATCCGTTACGACCTTCTGTCAAATCTACCAAGGTGTGAGCTTAGATAATGGAATCGGACATGTGGGCGTGGGCCTTGCCGGGAGGGAATCAACAGCTCCATTGCCGACCTATGTTGGCACTTCTTACTTCGAACTTGTATTTGTTTTTTTATTTAAGCTAAAACCTTGGCTTGGCAAAAAAGTGTCATATATATATATATATATATATATATATATATATATATATATATATATATAATAAATGCGATGTCAGTATCTCTTGAATCAGGTCGACTCGGTGAGTAAATTAAAAATATTCCAGGCCGGAGCCATACCCGCAATCCTGAAATTTTGAATTCCCATTTATTATTGCGATTCTTTTTGGTGTGATTTTTTTTCTTTTCTCTTTTCTTTTTCTTTTTTCTTTTGCGACGAATTTTTTGTACAATAACAGTTTTTATAAATTGGGAATAATCGAAATTTATTGCGAAAGTCACATATAAAATAAAAATAATTATTTGTGCGGAAAGTAAGGACCTACGTACATCAAATTGTCTTTAAAATAAGTGATGGCAGAAGAATTATTGTTGAACATTTAAAAGGTAAGCTTAAATATTAATGCAATACTTAAATAGAGCGATCAATTTTGAGTTCTTCTGTAGTTTATTGTTGTCTATCTCATCTACTTCCTCCTACCTATTGTAATGAAGGATCAATCAACAACTTTCCACAGGAGCGAGCTGAAATGCCGCCAATTAAGTCGGCTTTTAAGCTAGTAATTTTGGTTTTCCAAGCGCAGCTTAGATGTGACGCAAGGCCGAAATTAGGGGGCACCCAGTGAGAATCGAACTCAGTAATGGTTCTAGCGAGACAAGCTTGCTAACCATTACATCGCCTCAAGGTACCTATTTAACCTAGTTATATATGAAGAAATTTTCATGCTAGACGCAATCGTCAGGCCTGACCATTGCGTCTAGCATGAAACAGTCTGTCGCCTCTAAGTGTTGACTTCAATGTCCACTTACGTATTATATATATATATATATGTCATTTTTGTTTATACATTCTTTTTGTGTCTTAAAATAATTGTCGGACTTTGTCCATTTCATTATATATATATATATATATATATATAGAGAGAGAGAGAGAGATCCAAATGTAAAAGAACGAAAA